AAGAGGAAGAAACTACAAGGGGACAAAACTCATGTCTCCAAATATTTTTAAACTTTGTGCTACAAAGGGTGCACCAAAGGAATGGAAAATATCAGCTATTCAAAGCTATAATGAACCAAGTTTAGTTCAACATGGCCAAAATGTTCTCACAATTAATGGATTGAATTTTAGTTGAGAAAGCAAATGCTTGCATAGACAATGCAGAAGAGAGTCTCCCTGTGGGAAAATTTAGGTGAAAGAACTATTAAAATCACTCCCAACTCTGTTTCTGAGTTTCTGGTTTCCCCATCCCCACAAGATGGGCCCAATCAGCATTTCAAATGATTAAATTGTAACACATTACAAAACTCTCTCTTCCTCCTTCTTTCCTTCCTTTCTTCCCTCCTTCCTTCTCTGACTTCATTTGTGGCCAAATAGTAGATGACCATTATGGAAATGGAATTTTAGAAGCAAGCCATATATTATGTAAATGGTGATTAAAAGATTGTCAAGTTGTCTGAATAAGTTAAAATTAGAAATATTTTTTTTTGCCAGTGGAGCACCTCAAGAACTCGTAATGGAATGTGAAAAGCCATTGGCATCTCTTTTAGAATGAATCTGTTACAATAATCAGGTAAGCTTTTTATGTGATGTCTTGAATTAAAAAAGAAGATGAGAAGCATAAGCTATAAGAGTTTAAAAATCAGACATTGATGATGAAGCCAGGATCAGGCTGGGGCTTGATTACTGGCTTAACACACACTAGATAGGTCATGAGTGGCTAGTCTGTTGACCTGTTTCTCACATTGACTAAGATGTAGAACAGAGCATGTTCATGGTACCTACTTTCATAGGGCTGTTGGGAAGCATAAGAGAGATTGTGTATATTAATCAGTTTTTCAGGATTGGGGCAAACAGTCATTTTCTTTAGGTACCTGAAGAGACAAGAGGATTGATGGTACGCAGCTCTCCTTTACCAGAATAAGACACATTGCCTCTTTCTTCAGAAGCTTTGAAACAGAAGGTAGGCTCACTGATGAGTGTGCCTGGAAGGCATGTGCAATCCCACAAAAGAGACATGTGTATGCTTAGCACAGAGTAATGTAAATATAACAAAGTCACAACGTGTTCAAGGAGTTATTTTAATTCAGCAAAAGATGATTTTAAACTAAAACAAACCCAGAAACTACTGAAACTCTAGTTCCTGCATTTGAGCAATTAGAAAACAATACAAAAATAAAGAATGATTTAAAAAAAAAATTCCTCCATTGTCCCTTAAAATGAACTAGGAATGATATTTGGAATTTCTTAAGAAACCACAAAACAGGGCCAGCAAGATGGCTCTGTGGCTAAAGGCATTTATCCCCGAGCCTGAATTTGATTCCAAGGATCCATATAGTAGAACTGACTCTCACAAGTTATCCTCTGACATGCACACATGCACACACACACACACACACACACACACATACACACACTCACATGAGCGCATACACACACAGAGTAAATAAATGTAATAAGATCTTTTTAAAAAAAATCATAAAACTAGGACTATTTGAGGCTTGATATATTCCATAGAACACAAGTTGCTGTGAGTCATAAGGGCACTTTCTTTGTTAGATTACTAACCCACTATAAAACCATAGAGACAACTTGCTTTTAACTCAGAGAGAAGATATAACCCACGTATGTGCAGACAAAATGATCCTCTTAAAACATTTAAAGCTAATTTTCTCAGATGTATCAACTATCTTATAAATTGTTTTCTAAAGACAAGGAAATTAATATCAGTAGCTACTTTGTGACACTCAGTATTTCAACTTGCAGGAGTTATTTCTCTCCTTCTTCATGTGGGTCCCAGGGACTGATTTATCAGGATTGGTAGCAAGTACCTTACCCCTTGAGCTGTCTTGCTGGCCCTCCAGATGACTCTTTTTAAATCATTTCCCTTAACATTGCAAATCTTAGTGAAAAGTGGCTACCCTAAAGCAACAAAAACAATAAAAAAGCAACTGTCGTGGTATGAATAGGACTGGTCTCCAGAGACTCATGAGTTTGAATGCTTGGCAGATAGGGTGTGGCATTATTAGGAGGTGTGTGTTCGGGGTTAATCTGGTGCTTTGTGTATTCAGATGCTGCCAAGATCTAGTTGCAGTCAGGATGAATTCTTATGTACACCGGTCTTTGGCTCTTTGTTGTGTTGACCTTGCTCCCCAATTATCTCTGACTGGTTAATTAAAAAGGCTGGACAGCCTATAACTGGGCAGAAGAGAAGTAGGCAGAGCTTAGGTTCCCAGGCTTAGGCACTCAGAAGGACCACAAGAACAGAAGAAATAGGGAGAAAGAGAGAAAGCAGAAGATGTAGCAGCAGAAGAAAGCAGAGAGGAAGGAAGTAGCCATGGGGAAGTATGAATCGGGACATGAGGGGCTGGCCTGGTAGAGCAGAAGCAGCATAGGCTGTACAATTATAGCAAGTAATATTGGGGTACAAGGATGGGAAATAGCAAAATAGCTTAGAAGATTGGTATCTGCCCAGCTCTAGTGCTTTAAGGTTCATTATAAATCTACGAGGTCTCTGTGTTATTTATTGGGAATTAAATGTTTGAAGTGGGGTAAAAATTCCAAATAGATATTTACAAGCAAAGATTGGTGTAGCAACCCCCTTGAAAATTAATTTATTGCAATTGTGTGGCCTTGTTGCAGTAGGTTGGAGGAGGTGTGTCACTGTCTCTGATGCTCAAGCTATGCCCAGTGTGCAGATCAAGATGAAGAACTCTTCAGTCCTTCTCCAGCACCATGTCAGCCTGCATGCCACTATGTTTCCTGCCATGATGATAATGGACAAAATCTCTGAAACTGTAAGCTAGCCCCAATTAAATGTTTTCCTTTATAAGAGTTGCCATGGTTATGATGTTGCTTCTCAGGAATAAAACCTTAAGACACCTACCAACCAGACCAAAAACTAATCCTTATTCTATTCCACACTCTGATGATAGTATTCTATATTACAGATGAGTTAGGAGAAAGAATTTTGAGTCTCTTTACCTCAAAGAAATGATAAATAGGTAGATGGGAGATAGGCTTATCTAGATTTGAACATAATGCAAGATATTAAAACATGACACAATACTCCTTGAATATGTCCAATTTTATGTGTCAATTTAAACAAATTAAAAGGAATCTCAACTTCATGATTGCACACTACACCAAATATATCAGAATTTAAATGTGGGAGACCCAGGCAGCCACACTTTTTAAAGTTTTCCAGCTCATGTCAATGTGTAGAATGAATAAAGGATCATTTTGAGCCAGCCCACTGAAGTACACATCTGCAATCCTAGAATTGCAGAATCAAAGCCAGAAAGTTTGAGGCCAGCCTGAGCTACTTAGTGAGACCATGTCTAAAAACACTATAATTCTGGATGCAGCTCAAATGTAGAATGCTTGTCTGGCAGTGAATTGGCCATGGATTTGCTCCCCATCACCACCAAATCCCCACTCTATCTGAGCATCTTTTAAGAAGGGTAGAAAATTTCAAGTTCTTCAGATAAAAACAATGGGACTAGTCTTGAAGGTTTCATTTTTATAGGACTCAAAGTTGGGTAGGTAGGGAAGGGAGGGGGATCTGAGAAGAGATGATCATGATCAAAATTGTATCTCAATGAACTACTACTAATAAACACAATAAGAAAATGAGATTCCAATAGTGTACTAAGAACTTTTCTCTTTGTTACTAGTAGAATGATTAATTTCACAATTAAAACAAAATATTTTGAAAAGTAGGATTACAGATGATTTATTTGTTCATTTGTCCTGTTCATTTTTCTCCCCTTGTGCCAAATGACAAGTGGTTCTATAATTAATATGGAATTTGTGTATAAAAACCCAAGGACTAAAAGAAGGCAAAGAAAAAGGGGGTGGGGAAGTATACCTGATTTCAAAGTAGAAAGACTTGTCACAAATGAAGATTACAAATCAGCTCAATAGAGAAAAAAAAAAAAAAAAACAGCATTTGTTTCCATCCAAAAATAATTACATAATTCAGAACTGTGACTGCAGAATCAAAAGGCTACATCTAACCTCAGCTGAGTTTGCAAACATTGAGTATAAAAGAGGCCAACCATCTTGAGGTAGGAAATAGTATTTGTTCCATTCACTAAGTGTCACACATTCTTCGTGTTCTACTTAAAGGCTATGAGCAAAAGGAGTGGGTGAGCTCTGACCCTGTGCAGATTCTGAAGATGCTCACAACGTTCTGTTCTGGTTATGGGGAAGTGTAATGGCAATGTACATGCATGAAGCCACTTACAGACACAGAAGATACCAGAAGCACAAACGGAATTACTTACTTGTTATGTTTTCTTTTTTATAATCTGAGGGGGAAAGGATAAAAATTGGTTTTAAGGAAATGTTAATATAGCTCCTAGATTCTGTGCACTACCTCTAAGAAACGTGACTTTCCTGTTCAGCATTTAAAGGAGTGACAGAATAGCATTTAAACATGAAGAGTGCAGCTTTGAAATGAAAACAGCCATTAGGGTAACAGTCTCACAGAAGAAATTCATACAGCACCATGCAGTGGCTGTGTTTTGTGAGATCAGCGTTTTCAAACATGTGGCTTATTTTCTGCATGCTTGAAACATCTGCATGGTTGGCTAAGAAAAAGGTTTATTCTTTTATGTCATTCCTCTGACAAATTATGAGATGTTTCTTAGCCATTTCCCCCACACACATTCCAGGAAATGTTACTTGTAAGATCCCCTATGAAATGAAGCAAGATCCAAGCAGCTACAAGTGTCCTTTGATTTATTTGAAAACAAATGAAATGAGTCTTTACGATAACCTATGCAATTAGAATAGCATTAAGATTCTATTACATGTAGAAAGAGGGCAAAGTGAAAAAAACATTAGAACAGCCCAGAAAGCCTAAAAATTGTTAGGAGCTTTACGTATACACCTTATTTGACTGAAAACAGTAAAATTTTCTCAAGTTCTGAAATCTGGAGGGAATTCTTTGTTACCTAAATATGGCAGTCTTGTGCAGGCTGTGGGATACCCGTGCATGCTGGGAAGCTTGCTGCAGTCTGGCACCGGGAGGAGATGCATCCCAGATCTGTAGAGTCCTTGGTGGGTCTTCCCTTCCATTGCCAGCCACTCCTTTGCACAGAAAAGCTCCTTTACTGCCACGCAGTACTCTCTAAAATGTCATAAGGCAAGAAATACTTGATGAATCATGACAAGTTGAAGCCAAATTTGCAGTGGGGCTTAAATTTTGTGTCTTTGAAACTCTATCAGTAGTGTTTTTGCTTACAAAAGCATTGCATATGACCCTTTTTGGCTTAAGTGAACTATAAGTGTACTACACTGTAAAATGAAGTGCTATCTTGTTTAGCATTTTTTTTTTCAAATCTAGAATGAATTAGGTAAAAGTCCCTGACATAATCTTGCTGCAGATAGAAACATGGTTTTGTTTTGGTCCCAGGTGAGGGATGTGGGACTGATTCAGAGTCCACAGCAGCAGACGATTTGCTTCCTGTGGGCTCTGAGAGGGGCTCTTTGCCAGCTGCGGAGAGTTTAAAAATGAGAACTCTGGAGAGAGAATAACCGCCAGAGCCCTGAGAGTGTGGAGCAGAGAGAAAGAACAAGGCTGCTCCTGCTTCCCCCTCTCTGCTCCTCGTTGCTGTTGTGAGACAAGAAGTCGGAGACCTCCTGAAACCAGGATTGGACTGGCTTCTAGGAACCTGATGATCCTGACCAGCAGGAAGCAATTAAAAGAACTGTGCCCCCTCTCCCACTAACCTTTTCTCTACCTGGCGTTGGGGTGTTGGAAGGGATTGTGGTGACGTAGGGAGAAGAAGATATAAGAAACATAATTAAAAGTTAAAAAAAAAAAAAAGAGTACAACTATATATCCTCTCTTGAAGTTCATATTAAAGAATAAAGGTACAAGGGTTGGAGAGATAGCCCACAGGTTAGGAGTACTTGTTGCCTTTGCAGAAGGTCCAAGTTCAATTCCCCGCAACCATAGGGTGGCTCACAACCATCTGTAACTGTAGTTCCAGGAGATCCAACAGGCAATTTACATGGTACATATAAATGCATGCCGAAAAAATTCATACACATAAAATAAAACAAATAAACCTTTAAAAAAATTACAGATACAGAAACAAGGTCAATATGTTAAGAACACATGAACTAAGAGGCATGAGGCATCACCCGGGGCTGATGGGCAGGGCTTGAGAAAGGAACACACCCTGAGCTTCCGCTTCCCCTGCTCTCTGGAATGCAGCGGCAACAATTTCAGGTAACACTTTGAGTTCCTTGGCCAGCTCTTTCCTGGAGAAGCAGGGTCCCGCCGGGAGAACACCAGTCCCTCTCCCCCCCTCCCCCCCCCGAGACCGGATTCATGATTGAGTGTGAAGCCTTCAGGTTTTGGACAGGTCGTGTCATGAGTGGAGGGGGCAAGGACTGGTTGGACTAATTGGAATTTGAAAGTTAACATTTGTCTGAACCTACTAGGACAAATTGCATCAGGGAACTCTAGGTAATTCCAAATTAAGATTGTTAGAGCTAAAAATAAACGGACAAAAAATTTAAGAGGGAAAATAAAGTATATGTGGACTTGGGTGTGGCCCAGTGGTAGATTGCTTGTGTAGCATGTACACATGAGTATACACACACACACATACAGAGAGAGAGAATATGACGGCTTGTCCTAGGTCCCTACAAAGGAGGGAATTTTGTTTGTGTGATCGGCACACCTATATCACGGGGCTCTTTTGTGGTGGACAAGGGCCTTTATGACCAAGCCAAACATTTTCTTTAAGTTCAGAGTACTAGTATCATAGATTGCCATCAATGGTGTGAATGGGAGAAATTCTGTCCTTTTCATCACTTCTTTTGGGTGAATGGCAAATTTTGCCTGACCCGCTGCTCATAACAATGCCTTCCCCCCCCCAAAAAAAAACAAAACAAAACAAAACAAAAACAAAAAACAAAACAATTGGCATACAGGAAAAACAAAAACAAAAACAAAAAACAAAAACAAAAACAGAGTATTTTACTCGTTAATTTTTGAAGTTTTACCTGCAAATGGGCATGGGAGTAGGTACCACTCCGGGGCCGCACTCTTGGAAGAGGTGGTTACACAGCAGAGCCTCAGCAGCTGGCCTGCAGAACTGGCTCACAGCCTTCAGTTCATTCCATGCAGTGTGGATCAGCCGCTCTTGGGCCTCCTCAGGGTCGGAGTAGGAGGCGTTGAAAAACACAAGAGCATCTTTCCCCAGGACCGAGTCGCACACCTCCCCTCTGTACTGAGCACAGTAGCCTTTGCTGTCTCTCTGTGATTTCCTGAAAGAAGCCACGAACAGCACAGCCCAGTCATGCAAGTTCTTTGCATCCATCCATTCTGCCTCACCACAGCTCACATCTGCATCGCAGAAACAGGGAGAGACTTTCCTGGCAATTGTGTTGAGATGTTTCACATGAATATTCTCCCCATTTCCAGAACCTCAGACTATGATAAAGGCTGTGGAAAGCTTTGGAATGGTCAAGAGCTGAAGGAATTTGGGCATTTTTGTTGTTTATGTTATACACAGATATGATTGTTATTATAGTAGAGACAAACTTCCTGTACACAAGTTAATATAATCCAAACAATTCATTCATTGTGACCGATAGCAGATGAGAACAATCTCCCATGGAAAAGTCTGCAGCTTTAAGAGCAACTATATCTAGCTAAGTGCACGGATGCTTAGTACATTCCTGTCTTGGTTACACCCCTTGTTTACTGGGAAAGTGGTAACTCATAAACTCACCGACAATACTTACTGAATATTTATCATGTGTAGACACCGTCACAGCCATTCATATGCAATTTCTTTGCATCCATTCTGCCCTCACCACAACATATTGTTATTCTACCACTGCTGCATTCGTATGGTTCCCATCAGATCTCTATCTATCACTAACAGGATGGAACACTTAAATCATGTTTCTCATGTAAATTTACACTTTTGTTTTTAGATGTTTACTATTTTAGTTTTTATCTTTTTAATTTTTAAAAAATTAAATTTAAAAAAATCTTTAAATGTTTTTAAGATTTACCATTATATAAAAGATTTAAAGTAGTTAGGATTGGTGGTGCTCACCTGTAATCCCAGCACTCCAGGAGGCAGAGGCAGGTGGATCTCTGTGAGTTCGAGGCCAGCCTGATCTACAAAATGAGTCCAGGACAGCTAAGACTACACTGTGTTGAACAAACAAACAAAACTGAAAACTATTTAAAGTAAGGAAATCCATCACACTACACTGTTTAAATCTGAAAAATTGATACTTCATAAATTAACACTGTCTGTTCTCTGAAATAAACCCATTAGAATGAAGCACAATTCAGTGAAATAAAGTCATGTCTCATAAGATAGTTTCAGTTTGGATTGGTCATTTACTAATTACTCAGCAGGATCAATAATGAACCATTGAATTCATAGTTGACATTTAAAATTAAAAAAAGCCTTGAATAAGAAAATAAGTCATTTAGGGAACTCAGTCTGTGATGGCACTAAGAAAAACTTTAGAGTTGTAGTTGTTGAAGTTCAAAAAATCAGATTAATAACTAACACAGAAAAGTAGATCAGCGTGGTTTCCAAAGGGTCTGACATTTTGTTACATCTTGGTGAAATGAGAGATGAATAAGAGCAGCACAAAAAACAAAAACAAACAAACAAACAAACAAAAAAAACACCAAAAACCCTCTCCTGTGTAAAAGTTAAATCATTCTCACAATGTCTCTGACCTTAGAGTTATTCATTCAGGTTCTAACATCAAGTGTTAACCTCTGAATGAAGCTAATTTTACCCATGAACATCAAATGTAACACATATTGGTGTCTTTCTTTTAATTGCACAAACAAAACATCTTTTTGAAAAAGAGACACTACAGAAAACTGATACAGATGGCCTCGGAGATAAAAAAAAAAAAATTATAATCAGTTCCTCTCTGAATCTGCTGCTTCCTCAATGAAACCCTAGCAAATATTTGGAACATAGTTAATATGGCTTAAAGAAGTGAACCCTCAAACAGGAAACAACCTAGGAACCTGCCACAGAGGGCCTCTGAAAGGCTCTGCCCTGCAGACTATCAAAGCAGATGTTGAGACTTATGGCCAACTTCTGGGCAGAGTGCATGGACTCTTATGTAAGAAGTGGGAAATAGTAAGATCTGGAGAGGACAGGAACCCCACAAGGAGAGCAACAGAACCAGAAAATTTGAACACAGGTGTCTTTCCAGAGACTCATACTCCAACCAAGTACTAGGCATGGAGATAACCTAGAACCCCTGCACAGATGTAATCCATGGCAGTTTAGTGTCCAAGTGGGTTACATAGTAATGGGAAGAGGGACTGCCTCAGACACAATTTGATAAGCCTGCTCTTTGATCACCTCCCCCTGAGGGGAGAGCAGTCTTACCAGGCCACAGAAGATGACAACGCAGCTACTCTGGATGTGATCTGATAGACTAAGATCAGAAGGAAGGAGAGGAAGACCTCCCTTATCAGTGGACTTGGGGAGGGGCATGCGTGAAGAAAAGGGAGGGAGGATGGGATTGGGAGGGGAGGAGGGAGGGACTTATGAGGGGATACAAAGTGAATAAAGTATAATTAATAAAATTAAAAAAAAAGAAATGAACCCTCACTTATTTTTCAATATTAGCCAACCCCCCAACAAAGAAAAAAAGAACAACAGAGGGGACTCAAATAAGTTTTGAATAAAAACAATAGATAGAACACATAGATTCTGATTAGCTCCACAACACGAGCATATGAATATATCTTGTGTGTGTGTGAGTGTGTGTAATCAATTTATATAAGGATATATCATATATATCTAGAAATCACCACACTACCTACCTGTGAACTGCCTAGTCACCATTTTGACTTTTTAACTTCTTTTTTTTGGAAGATATTTATAAAACTCAATTTTAAACAGCTATCAAATTTTAGATATCAGACATGGACGCAAAGTGAATTATTTAGTCCACAGGCTTCCTAAGCCTACCATTAATAATAATAGTAAAAGTAATAATTAACAATAATAAATGACAACAGGCCCTGACTGTTGCTCCCAGCAAGAACGGGGAGTTGAGGTGAATAGAAAGCCCTGCCTCATGTTCTGAGGGTTTTTGCACTGCCCACCTGAAGCTGTGTCTCTTCACGCCTGGGGCCGCTGATAGGGCAGGTTTACATGCAAGTGGCTCTATTGCTCTTTTGAACACTGGGGCAGAGGTCGCTCAGATCCCTTTACAGAATGCTGGTTGTTCTCTTAAAAAACACAAGCTAACCTTGAACATGGCACCCATTCCTGTATTACCTCCTGGCAAATCTCCTGGCTGAGATCTTTCTGTCATGGTAAGAACAGATCCCTCCTTCACCTTCTTTTTTGAAGAACAGCGCTGTAGTCAAATGGAATATCAGTGCGGGTCGTCCTCCCTTTTCTGTCCACTAAGGCATGTCTGAATAACATTTTGAAATATTACCTTCCGGTGTCTGTGAAAGAGGCACCCTCTATTCTCTTTGAACTTTGTCCAGAGGCATATACAGAGGCCCGGCTGTGTCCTGTTTGGCTTAGGACACCCCCTACTGTAGTGGTGGCACACTTGATAGCTGGTTCTTTCCTTGGATCTTCCCTTACATAGCCACTGCTTCATTTCCTCTACAAAGGTGATGGCTGAGGTTTTGAGCCATTCCCCATCTTCAAACCAGCTGGCAGTGCTTCCTTTCTTTCATGCCTGCTGTCTGTACATGATTCATTTACTAAGGCAGAGGACAGCAAGTACAACTAGACTTGTCAGACTCAAGCCTTAAGGAAATTCCCAGATTCAAAAAAGGATCTAATGATTTTTGATAATATTTTAAAACTTTGGAATATGGTCAGCTGCAGTTATTCATAATCACGTGTACTTAAAACTAATTTAAATGTTCACATACGTGTATCATGATGGGCAGTCTTTTTACAAAGTAATACATACATGACATTTCCTCAGTCTTTTGTTTAAGCAAAATTTTCTCTTTTTAACTAACATTTAATTGACAGAAGTTTTGTATGACATGATATGAAATTCGCATATATTGTGGAATGGCTAAGTTGAACTAATTAACATATGTACTAATTCAGATGCATATTACTCTTTGTGGTGAGAGCACTTAAAATCTGTTTAGTGTTTTTTTTTTTCTTTTAAAAAATGAATTCTATACATAGTATTGACACTACTCACCATGTCCTCTAATGGGTCTCTTCAGCTGTTTCTCCGTCTGACTGAACCCTCCTATCCTTTGTATTTTAAAGTTTATGTTTTTGTTTTACAGACTTTACAGATTCTCTTCTGAGAGATAAAAATAATGTCTACATTTTAAGTGGCTAAAAGAATATTTAATGACATGTGAAAACGACATGAGGCTCAGATGTATGTCCACAAATGAAGTTTTATTCAAAAAGAAGCAATTGTACCCATTTATACACTCTCCATGGCTGTTTTTGTGCTAAATCAACAGGCTGAGCAGTTTTAAAAAGGTCTGCATGGCTTACTGAGGAAACATATTAATATCTGACCCTTTATAGAAAATGTTTGCCAACCTCCGCTGCAGTGTGCTGATCAAATGTCACTTTGCTGAACTGCCAAGCACAATGTCCTCAGTGAGAAGGACACGACCTCCTGAAAAACCTCTTGTGCTTCCTGTGAGCCGAAGTCAAGAGCTGTTTACTATATGAAATGAACTATGATATAAACAAGCAGCACTTTTTATTAAAATCTAAAAAAATGGAGAAAATTGATTTTACTTCTCCCAGATACTAAAAGAAAGAATATAAGGTTAGGTGGATGGTGGGAGGGATTTAAGAGGAGCTGGGTGACAGGGAGAGACTATGATAAAAATACACTATATGAAGTTCTCAAAGAACAAATAAAAAATAAAATAAATATTTCAAAACTAAAATGAATTATATTAGTCTCTCACAGACAGATATTTTATATATTACATATATGTGTATAATAGATTATATTCTTTATACACAGAAATATCAGAATTGAACTGCAGATACATTTTTGTATCCTGCATTTTTTCCTCAGCATATTATAAATATTTGCCTGCCCCTTTAAAAAAAAAACAAAGCTTCTAATCAATTTTCTTTATTAGTAGATATTCATGCATGAGTATAAGCAGTTGTGAATAGTGTTCATAATTCTTGATTTCCTTGAATAGACTTCTAAAAGTGGATTTTTTGGTCTATAGATACAAGCATTTTAAGACTAATAATAAAAATTACTAAGTTGAAAATGATAAAACAGCAATTTTCTCGCTATTCGCAGAGCTTGATAGTATTTACATTATCACAAGAAGAAAGTAGACAGGGTTGTTCTTTTAAGTTTTTGAGACGTGATCTCACTTTGTTGCCTAGGCTGACGATCTTCTGTCCCAGCCTTCTGAGTTTTGGAAGGAACTGCAGTCACCATATCCAGTTAGAAACTGTTCTCTGACTGGCATGTATTTAACTTTCTTAACAATTTTAAACCGCTTTGTTTGAATTTAGTTGCATGGAGATTACTTCTGTATACTCTTTAAGCCCTTGGAATTTGTGATTTCAGTATTACGCTGTCTTACCATTAATATTATGTGCAGAAAAATACGTCTCCAAGGAGAGTATAATTGGTTTTGTGTCTCCACTTCTAATACATCTCCAGGAATGGAGTGCCTGGTTTTAAAAGGGGCAGAAAGGGCAGTTCTGTTACCAGGCATGGCGGCGAGTCTTCGTTGTCAGATGACTCGACTCTTATGTGCTTGCATCTCCAGGCCCTTCAGTGGGCTGCACTGTGGAGTTCTTAAGAGTCACTGTACTGTCTCTGAGAGCTCCGACAACCACTTAGTAACTAACGCTTTATCTCAAAATGGAGCCTTATAGCTGTGTAAAACCAGAAATGAGATTCAGAGGGAATCACATTTTATTGTGTATTGAGTTATTTTACTCCATGGAAATCAAATCAGTGTCTTCTCAGTTTCTGTGCTTCTTGATAGACGCTTCTGAGCACTGGTTGTGAATCTGAACCCTGGAGTCTGTCTGTCCAAACTTTGAGGGAGGACTAGCACTTTGTGACCTGTGTGGTCTGGCAACTCTTCCTGCATTTGGATCCTTGTTTGGAAAAGCACAAATAATAATACTTTCCCCTAACTTCTCTGCAATGCCAAATTGAGAACAGGTACCATGACTGTAACGGTCATAATTGCTATTATGGGTTAATCACTTGTACTTACGACACTTAATAGGATTTCTAAAGATTTTTGTTTTGTTTATTCACTTGCTTGTGTTTTAGTTTTCTGAGACAGGGTTTCATTTAGCACAAGCTGGTTTTGAACTCCTGATCTTTCTGCTTCACCTTCCATGTCTGGCAGGTATACCAAGCCTAGCTAGTTGTTTGATTGTTAATTTTTTTCTTTCTTTCTTTCTTTCTTTCTTTCTTTCTTTCTTTCTTTCTTTCTTTTTTTTTTTTTTTGAGATAAGGTGCCATGTAGTGCAGATTGTCCTCAAATTCACTATGTAGTCCAAGCTGTCCTCGAACACACTTTGTACCACTCTGGTCTTAAACGTCTCATCTTCTTTACTTACTGCTGGGATTAGAGATGGAACATGTGGCTAGGTTACCACATAGAGTTTTTATGAAAGTCGATTTTAGAAATTCGGTATATAATATACTGTAGGTAAAAGCTTCTATAAGTTGATAGTTTTCATCTCTTGGAAAAATTATGAGGCAATTTTGGAGTTAGTATTAAGTTGTATTTTGAGATGCCTCATTTCTAGCAAGTGAGTCTCGGTTACTTTCCTGAAAATCAGGACAACCAATAGACCCTACTTGATGGGGATATCTTGAGAATATTTTGAACAGCATCTGACACACAGGAAATATTCAGCTGACATTAGCTACCTTTATCTTCACTTTTTATTATATGCAGAATTTATAAAACACTAATGGCTTTGGACATTAGGAATGTCCAAAAAGCTTATATTGCTCAGTAGGCAAAACATTGACATGTTGAATTAAAACCACAATTGACATGAAACATAGTAATAATAATGGATTCTTACCTCCATTCTGGCAACAGGAAAGGAGTGGCCATAGAAAAGCACAGACCAAAAGATAAAAAACAAATAATTAACTAATTAAAAATGGATAGAGGAAACTCAGCACACATTCAACTTACCGTTTAATCACTAAAACCAAAAGGTCTATGAGGCTCTCTGCTTTTACAAGGAGACTAGAAACTACATTAACATTAATACGTGGAATTGGTTGAGATTAAGACAGTACTGTCCCAGGGAGCTGTAATCTTTTCATAGAGTAGCAGCCATGGGCACCACTGGCCACACATGAAAGAAAATACTTATTTCACCAAATTTTGTGACTAAGTTAATAGAGAAGGTAGACTGATAAGAAAGTAGAAGAGATAAATAGATTAGAGAGAGAGATGATAGAGATATATAGATAGATAGATAGTTAGATAAAGAGAGGTAGATATAGATAGATGAATGAATGAATATGAATGAATAGATAAATGATAAATATTAATCAGTATTACTGTTACTGGGAATGTAGTTTCTAACCGCTAGCTGTATTAGTAGTAGCAGCAGCAGCAGTAGCAGTCAGAGAAACTGCATCAGTCACAGAGAGGACTGAATTCGGGAAATCCGCTTGCTCTTTTCCCTATAAATCCTCTTCCCCTTTGATATGAAGGAGCTAGAACAGAGGATGAAGGGAGCTGGCTGTACATCAGCAGAACATATTTCATCCGTTCACCTGGTTTCCTGAATAGGTAGCTGCTTATCAGTGGGTGGACTGAAGCAGAATTTATAAGTGGATAATAAAACTGGAGGTTTAAACTAGATTAGATTGCTGTATTTAATCTGTAAATATCACCCGAGAGTTGTGAAACCTGCTTAAAAGCTTGAAATGAATTTGGTTCACTAATGGAAAAGAAGATTCTAGGAAGCATAATTTCTCAGTCCCCAGTAACTGGAGAAAAGATACAGTTTGCTCTGTGTGCATGTCAAGTCTAGATCTCAGTACACTGCTTGCACATGTCATCTTGAGACCTTGTCACCTCTTTGTTTCCAACTGCATTTATGAGCCACTCAAGCTTGTTTTCAAATTTACAATATTAAAAAAATACACACTTTTAGTACAGATCATGGTTATAGCAACAAAGACCTCCAAACTCTCATCCCTTCTCACATGGGTTGCTTAGCGTGCATGCACCCTTCTGGTGCTAAGGAAAACTGTATCCCTTTAGGACAAATTGCCATCACATTCAGAAATGGGAACTGGGAAACGCAGCTGTGTATCCCTGTGATTATTCTAGTTGTCTCCGGCTGACTCAGGAAAGTGATCATTTCAGGGATCATGGCTGCCTTGTTCTCTACTATAGGGCTGAGGGGTTCTAGAGGAGGCATCTTGCCAAATGCATGTCATCCTGTGAGATTAAATCATAACTGCGCCTTTGGGGGTTGATGGGAAACTAAGCTTCCTGGCTCAAGGGGACAGGCTCAGGAACATTTATCATTCCTTTTGATGACTGCTATCATATGTAATGCACCAGAAAGAAATGTATGATATTTCTCAAACAACAAGGGAGGAGTTGAAACACATGGATGGTTGCTGGGAAAGTGAAGGCTGTTCTTTCTTTTCATTGTCCTTCAAACACTAGAAATATCATGAGACAAAACCTGAAACACATAGAAATCAGGCCTTTTCACATCCAGCTTTCCTGCTGGAATGAGTAAACAAACAGAGATAGGGCTTCCAAGTGAAACAATGGCTGTGTCAGGGAACTGTGAACTGCAGGGCGTGAGGGGAGGAATGGCCAAACTAGGAGGTAACAGTAGTGGAGCTAAAGGGGCACTGAGACAAGGGCAAAAAGAGATGTCTGTCTGACTGAAGCCCCAATTTTTCTAGCAAGGCCAATAGAGGACATCAGAGACAGGCCTGCTGGAAGGGAGGTATCATTCCCAAGATCTGGGAAACCTGAGGAGAATATGGACATCCTCACTACAAATACCTCCTTCTCCAGCCCCTGAATGAATGTGGTGCTAAAGATCCCATTTTCATCACAGTGACCTCACCTCCCTGGAATATTGACCAGTGGAACACTCTGGAGTTAAAAGGTAGTTTCCTTGGGATTCCAGAGGCTTCCAGCAGATCTAACTGACAAGAAGAATTAAGGAGATAATGGCATATGATCCTCATAAATGAGAGGTCTTAGTCAATCACACAAGGGGGGGGGTACTCATCAGGACTGCCTCAGGACAGGGAAGGAAGGTCAGATCTCAATCGTTGACACATACCAGAGGACAGGTGAGGAGCTGGACAAGAGGAAGGTAGAGAGGTGAATAATTTGGGTACACATTTTTGTAGATTGTGAACCCTAATCTCTATATACCAAATAGTTATTAAGATAAAAGCCAAGTGGTTTAAGTATTATTAATGTTTGTTTTACAAATGTGGGTGCCCTTGTATTTGGGGCATAGATGTTCAGAATTGGAATGCTTAAATCCCATTCAGAATGGCAAGCAGGATAGACACAAGAAGCAGGGGAAGAGAGGAAACAGAATGGGAGTCTACTATAGAGAGTCTTCAGAAAGGCTCCACCCAACAGGGTATCAAAGCAGATGCTGAGATTCACAGCCAAACTTTGGTCAGAGAGCAGAGTGTCTTATAGAAGAAGTGGGAGATAGAAGGACACAGAGGGGACAGGAGTCCCACAAGGAGACCAACAAAGCTAAAAAAAAAACCTGAGCCAGGGGTCCTGCAGAGACTGATGCACCAACCAAGGACTATGCATGTAGAGGACCTAGACTCCTTGATCAGATGTAGCCTATTGGCAGCTCCTAGTAAACAGAGCAGGGGCTGCCTCTATCATGAACTCAGTTGCCTGCTCTTTGATCACTTGCCTCTTGTGATGCAGCCTGTCAGAGCACAGTGGAAGAGGATCCAGGAAACCCTGATGAGAATTGATAAGCTATGGGCAGATGGTAGAGGAAGAGAACTCCTCCTTTCAGTGGACTAGAGGAAGGGGATAGAGGGGAAGAGGGTAGAAGGGTGGAACTCGGAGGAGTTGAAGGAGGGGACTTCAATAGGATATATAATGAATAAATTGTAAAAAAAATAAAAAGAAAAAAGATGAAAGCCAAAAGAAGCTTTTTGTTTTTGTTTTTGTTTTGTTTGTTTGTTTGTTTTTTTAACTCCTCACTTGGAATTCTAAAACAAATCATAGTACAAGGGTCTCCTAACCTGATGTGGGCGATAACACTAGAATCAGTGAAATGGCATGGCATGGGAGCATGGCCAGCAGGCTGGGTGAAGAAATCTGAATTGTGCTTGACTTCTCACACCCTGCAAGAGATGCAAGGGTGGTTTCAGGCCCACAGAGGACACATGCAGCTGAGCAGAAAGTCAGCAGGCCTACCTTCAGGTCTTAGTGAGGATCGACAGGGCAACCTCACTGCTAAGGTAACAGAACAGACTATGTGGGGATTTGGAGATGATTTGGCTGAGCTGATGAGAGGTGATTCTCTAGAAGGTTCCCAAAGGCAGAAAATCATCCAGGAAAGTCCTTTGACTTCTAACATGGCTAAGAGATGAAATCACAAGTTCTCCAGCCTCAGTTCTTTTTTTTTTTTTGTATTTTTCTTTTTTTATATTAATTACAGTTTATTCACTTTGTATCCCATCTGTAGCCCTCCCCTTATTCCCTCCCAATCCCATCCTCCCTTTTCTCCTATGTTCTTCTCCAAGTCCACTGATAGGAGTGGTCCTGCTCCCCTTTCATCTGACCCTAGCCTATCAGGTCTCATGAGGACTAGCTGCATTTTCTTCCTCTGTGGCCTGGTGAGGCTGCTCCCCCCATCAGGGGGAGGTGATCAAAGAGCTAGCCACTGATTTCACGTCAGAGACAGTTCCTGTTCCCCATACTAGGGAACCCATTTGGAGACTGATCTGCCATGGGCTACTTCTGGGCAGGGGTTCTAGGTTATCTCAATGCATGGTCCTTGGTTGGAGTATCAGTCTCAGATAAGACCCCTGTGCCCAGATTTTTTGGTTCTGTTACTCTCCTTGTGAAGCTCCTGTCTCTTCCAAGTCTTTCTATCTCCCCCTTCTTTCATATGATTCCCTGCACTCTGCCCAAAGTTTGGCTATGATTCTCAGCACCTGCTGTGATATCCTGCTGGGCTGCCTCAGGTCTTTAAAACCAGGGATTGGCAGACACCATTGAAGTATAAACCCCTCTCTTCCTTACCACCTAGGGAAGTGATAGAAGAAGGAAAGAGGGGGAACTCAAGCAAGGAATTATCAGTTAAAGACAAAGAATGCAACAGAGGGCCTCTGAAAGGCTCTACCCTGCAGGGTATCAAAGCAGATGCTGAGACTTTTGGCCAACCTTTGGGCAGAGTGCAGGGAACCTTATGAAAGAAGTGGGAGGTAGTAATACCTGGAGAGGACAGGAGCTCCACAAGGAGAGCAACAGAACCAAAAAATCTGACACAGGGGTCTTTTCTGAGACTGATACTCTAACCAAGGCAAGGACCATTCATGGAGATAACCTAGAACCCTTGCACAGATGTAGCCCATGGCAGTTCAGTGTCCAAGTGGGTTCCATAGTAATGGGAACAGAGACTGTCTTGACATGAACTGATTCGCCTGCTCTTTGATCACCTCCCCCTGAGGGGGGAGCAGCCTTACCAGGCCACAGAGGAAGACAACGCAGCCACTTCTGATGAGACCTGATAGATTAGGATCAGAAGGAAGGGGAGGAGGACTGCCCTATTAGTGGACTGTGGGAGGGGCATGAGTGGAGAAGGGAGAGGGAAGGTGGGATTAGGAGGGGAGGAGGGGGAGCTACAGGGGGGATACAAAGTGAATATATTGTAATTAATAAAAATTAAAATTACAAAAAAAAAACAAATGAGATAAAGAATGCATAAATGATATCTGAAGACTGGCAACACTAATATTTATCTTCTATCTAGCAGAGAACAAGCTAACTAAATCACAACAGTTTATATGCCTGAAACACCCCTATGTAAATATGCTCATCCATCCCTCATGATATATTGAAATCTCAAGCATATATTAACTAGTTCTTCCACTAAAGCGCCACCTTTGAGCACTTGCAAACCTCAATTTAATCCTGGCAGTCCCTCCTTTTTTCTCAGTCCCTGTCATGCCATTGTGTTATGGATACCATGTCTTTTCTAGGCTCATGGGCCACATTTAACATATTTAATAAGTGCATATAAAGCCCACTATAAACAGTAAAGTGCAGTATAAGTGATAATTTTTTATTAATATTTTAGTATGTTGAGTCTTTTTGGTGTCTCGCCATTGCCTGGATGAAGTGGTACCCTTTAACTGATCCAGTGACCAAAGACCCTATAGACAGGCACATCCTCCAAGGAGATGGTGGGGGGACCCTATTTCTCACCTTTGTAGGAATGTCCCTGAGGTTCAGCCTTGTCTACTGCTACTTCTGTAGTCTCTATTCATTTCAGCTTAAAAATTATAGGCACTATTGGAAAGTTCTTCATCGGGGAAGATCAAAGAAATAGGCTGTAATAAGAAACAGCCGCTCCAGGAGCTGTCCCTGAGTCCTTCCAATGCTGGCTTTACTCGTTAGGCCAAACACCTCTTGACGGGTCCTTAAACAGTAGGCCTGCTATGAGTCTAACATGCCTGGCATTTCCTGATACAAGGATTATTTCCACCTTTGGGAATTCCATAAATGTGCCCAGAAGCCTTTTGGACATTTAACTTTTAAAAATAACCCTTCAGAACACAATGCAGATAGCCTAGAAACCCATGTCAGCTGTTTCCTGCAAGTCCTGCTGTCACTGGATAACATAGGGAAGTGAAGAAAAAAAAAAAAAAAACACTGTAAAATTATCTTAAGAAACAGTAATGTGGAAACTGACTCAGCCATGGTAAATATCTACCAACTTTCTGAGATCCTTGTGAAGTTTGCTTAGCTAAGAAAATGGGGCAAGAGATGTTCTTAAAAAAAAAAAAAAAAAGGATGGAGGAAAGAAGGAGGGGAAGATGGATAAAAGTATGGAAGGAAGGAATCCAGAGGTGTCAGCAAGGAAGGGAGGATAAAGAAGAGAGGCAGAAACAGAGTTGGGGTAGGAGAGGGAGGAACTAAGCAAAAGCAGAGAAAGGAGGATGAGAGGAAGGAATTATAGATAGGAACAGAGAGAGGAGGAGGAAAAGGAAGAAAAAATAAAAATAGGTCCTGTAAATTGGTATCTATCATTTGAGCAAGAATATTGAGATTTAGTTTTTGATAAAACAAAATCTATGTCTCTTGAGGTAGTGCTATTCCCAATTTTCTGAGAAAGCATCAGATTAATTTCCAAAGTGGTTGTACAAGTTTGCACTCCCACCAGCAATGGAGGAGCCCTTTCTCCATATCCACTCCAGCATGTGTCACTTGAGTTTTTGATCTTAGCCATTCTGATAGGTGTAAGATGGAATTTCAGAGTTGTTTTGATTTGCATTTTCTGATGACTAAGGATGTTGAGCATTTCTTTAAGTGTTTCTCTGCCATTCTATATTCCTCTGTTGAGAATTCCCTGCTTAGCTCTGTACCCCATTTTAATTGGATTATTTGGTTTGTTGGTGTCTAATTTCTTGAGTTCTTTATATATTCTGGATATTAGTCCTCTATCAGATGTAGTGTTGGCAAAGATCTTTTCCAGTCTCCATGTTGATCTCTGAGTGAGGGGAGCAGGGGTTGCCTCTACCATGAACTCAGTTGACTGCTCTCTGATCGCTCGCCCCTGATTATGTAGCCTTCTCAGGCCATGGAGGAAGAGGATCCAAGTTGATGAGATCCAAGTTAAGTTGATGAGACTTAACAAGCTATGGGCAGATGGCAATAGTGAAGAACTCCCCCTTTCAGTGGACTAGGGGAAGGGGATGAGGGGAAGAGGAAAGGAGGGTGGGACTGGGGGAGTTGAGGGAGGGGGCTTCAATTGGGATATATAATGAATAAATTGTGAAGAATAAAAAACCTGCTCATGCAGCATAGCCGTGACCAAAGGATCTTTTCACCTTTAGCTATATTTGTGTTATGAATATATTCATGGAGATAAATTTTGCTTCTCAAAGTGGCCCAGAGATAAGTAAAAAGGGGGAGGAATATTGTTTTAAAAACCTATGTCTCCATTACCCATGAGTGTCAAAATGGACAAGGGAAAAACCTCAGGGGGCTAGGGTGGTAAAAGAAGGTGTCTCTATTCCAGATGCTGTCATGTGCCCACTGGCCCCCTCTCCTGGAGCAGGGCAAACACATAGCACCTACCTGCTATACTGACAGTGGCTGCAGCCTTTGCTGTACTGTATTTCTCTCCGTGCTTATTGGTAGCTATGCATGTGTAGAGTCCTGGCCTGGTGATAAAGAGCTGGAGTCTTGAGTCAATCACTCGGTCTTTCACACTCTCTTGGATGGAGCCTGAAGAAACCTGGTGGGTGGGGGAGGGGGGAAATAAAAGGTAGAACTAGCTTACCCTTTCCTAACTGCAGAGATATTCATGAAGGACAGAACATTTCCATTATGATCAACTGGCATGAGGAGAAGTGCAAACATAGACATAAGTTTCCTGTTCCTAGGCCCTTGTCCTTGTACTTATCAATCCCTCCCTCAAGAGGTATCATTCTCCACACTTTGATCTGGGCTAGTAATGTATTCTGAGATCACTTACAAAGCTACAAAGCTCTGGTGCATTGTGGCTTTCCTTCCTTCTTTTTCTTTTCTTTTCTTTCTTTTTTTTTGAGTCTGGATCTTTCTGTACATAACTTAAAGAGAGTTTATTGGATATGGTGGTTTGAAAGAAAATGGTCCCCATAGACTCATAGGGAGTGGTACTATTAGGAGGTATGGCCTTGTTGGAGGAAGTGTGTCAATGGGGGTGAGCTTTGAGGTTTCACATGCTCAAGCCAGGCCCAGTGTCTCTTCCTCTTCCTTCTTCCTGCCTACCCAGATGTAGAACTCTTGGCTTTTTCCCCATCACCATGTCTACCATCATCACACTGTCATGTTTCATGCCATGACAACAATGGACTAAATCTCTAAATCAGTAAGCCAGGCTTGATTAAATGTTTTCTTTATCAGAGTTGCCATGGTCATGGTGTCTCATCACAGTAATAGAAGGATGAAATAAACATGGCCTATCCATCCCCCAGTAAAAGCCCCAAACCACCAGATATATGAGGAGGGATATTCTGGACTAACCAAGACCTACTCAAACTGCCAGCCCTCCTACCTAGTATTTGGCAATCCTGGCTCAAATCAGCAAAACCATCCAGTTGACCCACAGACTTGTGACCACTAAGAATTCTTGTTTTAATCTACTCAGGTATAGCTGGTTTGTGAGATAAAATCAGGTAACTAATGCAAGCTCCAATATTACTCTTTGTAATGCTTTAAGATTTATCCTGACCACAGACAGGAGGAGACATGAATAAGAGGTTTTAGACTCTATAACATCTGATTACTTCTCTATAAATGGACATCAGATTGACAGATGTGTAATAAGAAAAGTGATTTATGAGGTCAAGTCACTTTGAGGCACAACATACAAAATGTGATGGAGCCTCAAACCAAAATACAAATGCCATTGCAGAGCTAGAATACAATATATTAGTAATTGACAGATTAATTATACAAATGCCTATTCATCATTCCAACTATACATTTCCTTATTAACTGTCATTCTACCAGCCCAAGACTGTCTATATTTTCCATTCAGCTGGGAGTTAAACTCTTTACTCCTCATGGTATGACACCAAAGCCAATGACTTTTAATTATTGTGTTCTCTAGTCCTTGAAGAGAAAGCAAATGAGTTGTTAGCAAGCAAGCCCAGTAACTTGGATCTTGAATGTTTCAAAGCACCCTGTGTAAACAGGTTCGTTAGCAGCCTTGGTCATGTTGGAAAGCTGTATAAGTGTTAGCAGGTAGGACCAAGAAGTTATATCATCAAGCATGTGGCTTTGAATGGGATATTGAATCACTGCTTCCTTTTTTGTCCACTTCACAGCTGTCCTAAGGAGATCAGCCTCATTCATACATTCCACAGCAGGTACAGGTATTGTATTGAGTCATATCCAAGACAGAAATCCAAATGACTATAGACTCAGACCTCTGAAACCATGAGCCAAAATGAATCTGTCACCCTTCTTATGTTGTTTCTCTTTGTCACAGCAACAAAAATAGAAAGCTACAACCTTAACAAATCAACAACAAATGTCATTGTTAAGATGGTAGCTTATTTTGAAATGGCAATTCTTTCTTCTGTTTTCTTAAGCCTGTGACACATTATCAGTAACTATTCATTAATCACCACTATTTAGGCGAAGAGAAAATGATACTAGTTTGAAGGAAATTCAAGCGATTGAGGAAAATTAAAGAATTAGCCAATGGTATTTGGGAGGACTAGATGTCAGCATCATGCTCAATTGAGCTTGGTTCCCTGGAATAAATTCCTTAGTGTGAGTATTGCTAAGAATGGGACATTTGAAGAATGTTATCTTACTATTATCCATGCAGATTTTTATAATGGCAAGAAGAAAGGAAGCTCTGAGATGTGAGCAGCTTTTTATTATTTAAATCTCTCTCTTTCTCTCTGTGTGTGTGCACACACAAGTGCTTGCCCACACAGAGGAAAGGGTGGGGTGCCACATTGCATGTCTGTAGGTCAGAAGACAACTTTGGATGGCTAGCCTTGTTTTCTACATTGTGTGAGACAGGATCTCATGCCTACTGTATGCACCAGTCTCTGCCTCCAACATCTCTGTGGTGATTACACATGCAAACTTTCACTTTCAGCTATTATGTGGGTTCTGGGGATCCAAACTCATGTCCTCATGTTTACATACTCTTTCACATACACTAGTTCCCCAGTCTATGACCAGAATTCTTCTTGATGCCTAGCACTTATCTCCAGCACCACACGCTTTCTGTAGCAATTAGGTAATGAAATTTTGTTCAGTTACCTTCCTTGTCTGTCATCCTCTATCCTCATTACTAGGCTCAATCAGTGGAAGAACTTTCCAGGTCAGATCAAACATTATTGCATTCCCCCCACATAAAGTAGTCTGGTCTCCATGGGAAACTGGCAAAGCAGAGAAAATATCTTGAAGAGGTATGCATCCTGGCTAGCAGGATAACTCAGACAGCAAAGCGCTTGACTTATTAGCATGAGAGCTGGAGTTTGAGCTCCAGAATTCACATAAAAGGAAAGGAAAGAAAGAAAGAAAAGACTGGGCTTAATGATGTGAGTTTGTAATTCCACATCTGGAAGCCTAGACAAACAACACTTTGGCCTCACTTCCCTGCTCTCCCCATATATGAGTATGCATTCAGAAATTTCTGCTGAAATATCGTATTTCTCAGAAGCTCAGCATCTTATAGATACAAGTTTCCATTTTAGGTCTAAGCAGATGGACATCTTTAGACACAAACTCTCTCTGATTTTACTACAAAACAGCAATGAGAAACAGACTGAGGTCTGAGCTTCCATGGTCAGTCAGTGTGCTTGGTGCATTTTCCTTTAAATCTTGTTTCTAAGGATCATCCCTTTCCAGTTTATAGCAGCGAAGCTGTGGAGCTGTTGCTTTCCTCCTTTGCCAAGTTAATTCCTTCCTTGGAGGAGAAGAGCTGTGCAGGGCTGTGAAGCAACTTAGAAACAAGCACCCCCCCCCAAATGCCGCCCACTGGTTCCTGTTCACACGGAAGCATGTCATTCCTAAACACCTTCCCGAGGTTACAAGGTCCCTGGAAACATGCCTCACAGAAAGGAGAGGAGCTCTTCAAGCTGCCTGAGCTTTCTGGAGGACTCCATCCAAGTGCTGAAATAGTTGAGTGGAGAGTTCTGAAGCTTACTGCTCAAGGATGATGTGGTTCTACATGTTTTTCCTCCTGAGTCCAGCAGCCTCACTTGATTCCCTTGGTGACTCACGCACAGCAGGCCTTGTTAGTCATAGTTTGAATTTGTTTTTCGTTCTTCATAGCTCATCCTGACCAACAGTTTAGTATTTTTGATGATCTAAAAATAAAAGCAACCCTCTGCCCTCTATTTGGATCGTATTGTTTGTCTCTGCATCATAGAAAAACAGATACTCAATGAGAGGCATTTCCCTGATGCTTTTATTTCCATAGCCATAAATATTGCCCACTTTCAAGCTGGCTACTGAGTTATTCTATATAACACTTGTTATACGTAATTACTTTGTTTTACCAGTTAATAATACAAAATGACTCCAAAGTTCACATACTTGAAACCAAAATTATGTCCCTTTAAAACGCTGGGTGAAATATGTTTATCTGTAAGAATATTTAAAAATCACAACCTTCAAAACATATGCACTGCCTGCTTATTTTACAAAATTCTTCTAAAAAAAACTGTTTCAACTTTTACAAAATTTTTAGGAATCTTGCATTGAGCAAAAAAGAGAGACGAACAATTTTTCCTAAATTTTTAGTTAAATGTCTATTATACAGTTATTATTAGAATAGCTTTCAATAAATGTTTCTATAACATACAGTCTCTTTTTAAAAATAGTAATCTCTTATTTATCCTCATTAAATTATTATAGCCACTATTTTAAAAGAAAATAAAAGCTACCTGTCACTCTCAAGTTTATTTTACTACAAATTTCCATGAAAAAGAAATTTACAAGGGAAGAAAAGGGACACATCTTCATAAAGTTGGGGCCATTCTTTGACTTTCTTCTACTTTCTGTCTCTGGTTGGTCAATGTTTTAGTTTGCATGGGAGAAGAGAGTTAGTCTCATCTTTTATATTGTTACATGTTTTTTACCACATTGAGAGGTTAGTTTTAGTTTGGCTCTAGTCAGTGGCTAGCCAGAGTGCATCCTGTGAACACATTTTATGTAACATTCTTAGTTGATGCTTTGATGTTTCCTCCAGGGTAAGTCTAGTTGACACTGAGTATTGTCCATCAGAGAGAGGTATCTGTTCATGAGGAGTCTGAGTAGAGAGAATGTAGAGAGAGAAGCTATCCTCAAAGCTATAGCAGAGGAAACTGCCTCAGAGTGTTAGAAACTTCTATCTGACCCTTTCCACCAAGGAAAACGATGCAAGCTTGCCAGGTGGGTCCACAAGGCTGGCCTAACACTGCCCTTGGAACATGATCTTGGTAGCTCACTGAAAGAACAAGCTGCTCCCAGTTTAGAAAACAAATACAATAATCCAGAACAGAAAATAGAGCAAGATGAAACAGGAGAGTGAAACAAAAAAGAGAGTGAAGAGATAGGACATCACAAGCAAAACAGCCATTTACTGTGAAAATGCTGTGTTCATCAATAGTTGATTCAATTGATGATGAGGAATTATACTGATTTAAATTGTGTCTGTACCAAAACAATGAAAACATGTTTCTAAACACAATTTTAAAACTGTGGTAGTAATGTTTGTCTTTTGTTTTGCTTTGTTTTGTCAAAGTGATGCAAGCTAAAATCACCTTGGAACAGTACCCTAAGCTAAGGACTTGCTTCTGTCAGACTGGCCAATAGACAAGTCTCTGGGGTAAAGGATATCTTGATTAACGGTTCATATGGAATGGGCCAGCCCACTGTGGGTGTTACCATCTGTTGAGGCTCATGTGAGAGGGACAACAAAGGGCTTTAGAACTCATGGCCCACTGGTTAGCACTATAATGATGGGTGGGTATGCCTTAAAGACTACATGTCCTGAGGACTTTATGCTGTTTAGAGCATCACTCTGCTTCTAATCCCTCACTGGGCAGCATCATTGGCACTCACAATAATAGTGCTTGATCTTTTTCAAGCATTGCTGCTGGAGCAGATTAATGATTCAACCACCACCCTTGGAAAGAACTTAGAGATAAAGATTGTTAGCAATGACCACCAGCCTTGGAAAGAATTTGGAGAAATAGATTGTTTATGTTAATATGTTTTTGTCAGTGACTCTGGTGTAAAAAATCTGAGGAATAATTTGAGTATCAGAAAGGCACATTCTTAATAGTTGAACTAGGTACTTTTTTGAGGTTTAGGGAGCAAGAACAATAGCCCAAATTAGCACTGGCTGATGCAACTCTCTCACTGAAATTGGGCTAGTGGTCAAAGTGATAATTAATTTCTTGTACCCATTTTTGCCCTCAGCTTTCTTACACTATTTAATAAAACTTATTAATAAGTAGTTGTGCACCTTGAGGATTTAAAGTAGAAATGGATGATTGTTTTTTATATAAAAGCTTAGATTTGTTCCTCAAGATTTTTGTAAGATTACTTTTAAGATAATTGATTCTTTCTTTATAACTGCAAGTTACAGCCTGCCAGTAAAGAGAAACTGACTGAGAAAATTACCTTGCTTGAGTACAGTTTGTTAATTCATAACAGGTTGCTTAGTTACAAATGTATGTGGGGTGTTGGAAATAATTTGTATTCTTCACCTATAATATGTAAAATGTTTCTTATGTAAAATTATTGGGAAACCTGCTGTTTTTCATGCTTGTTCACTAAAAGAAAAATAGAATGTAATCACACTGTAGTTTTTATACTGCCTGAAAGATTTTGCTGGGATATATAAGCTATGAGATTAAAAACAACGTTGCTAGTTTATTGGCACTTGCTCCTTGAAGCTTCTTGTAGCTTGCTTCATCCACCAAGTGTGTGTGTATGCGTGTGTGCATGTGTATGTTTGTATGATTCCTTTCCCCACTTTCTATTTTTCTCTTTGACAACCACAAGGCCCCCACTGGTTACAAGAAGCAGTTATGACAGAGAAAATCAAGCTTTGCACCCTCAAAGAAAAGTCTGCTGGGTAACAAGTCAACGACTAGACTATACAACCAGCCTCAGTTTATCCCTGACCTGCCGAAACTGGCTTTTGACAACCACCCCTGGGCAGGTGGTCCATGGCTGCATAAAAAAGAAGAATAAGTCAGCCATGAGAGTAAGCCAGTGAGCAGCATGACCTTGTGGTCTCTGCTTCAGTTCCTGCCTTCAAGGTCCTGCTTGAGTTCCTGCCTTGACTTCATTTCATGATAAACTATAAGCTGTCAGCTTAAGTAAAACCTCTCTTTCTCAAGTTGATTTTAATCACAATGTTTCATCACAAGAACAGAAAGCAAACTAAGATAAAATTAAAAGGATATTCACACCGAACACAGACAAGAGGTAATATTTTATGACAATATAATATAATATAATATGATATAATATAATATAATATAATATAACAATAATAATTCTGATTAATTTCCCTTTCTAGATACCAATAAACTAGCTGCTATAGATGAACCTTCACCCTGAAAACAAAACTCCAGAAAAATTTAATATATAAATTTAAAAAACATAAAATCTTAAAATGCAGAGTATTATTCTTCCCCTGAAAGACTTTGCAACTATGGGAAGTTTGAATTTTCTTTTGGATGTCTTTAAGGAGTGAGAAGTTAAGATGTAGCAATTATAAGGTATAGAGAATAATTAGATACAATAAAGATCTCAAAGCACTTGGTACCAGCATCATGTCAATGTACGCCATGAGTGAAATAGTCCACATGAATTGTTATACCTATGCTATAGTCACCAGACATATACATAGAGCTCCAGACCTTAAGTGTTACAAGATTAGATGCAGTCCTATTCTGACAGAATAAAGCAAAAATTATTTCCAAAGAAAGGTACCACCCTCAAGCACTCAAATTAGACATCTTCATTTCAGCACAATGAATCGTGGTTACTCACAGATAACCAGACACACAGAGGAACAGGGCACAATGAAGAAGAGTCATGGGACAATAGACAATAGAAACAGACTTGCAAATGAGTTCCATGTCAGAAAAGGAAAGCTGAAGTTGCTTCAGAGGCCTCTGCGGGCCTTTTGGACTGCCAGTGGCCACATACACCCCTTATCTCTGCATACTTTACTCATCTGTAACCACACTGACCTCTTGTTTCCCCTCCAACAAACCATGTCTACGTCCTTATCTTAGACACATTGTCTGGTGATCTTCCAGCAGCTTTCCACATAGCTTCACCATCATCATATTCAGACCTTTGTCCAGATGTCCTTGTCCCAATTAGACTCAACTGCTCTATTGAGACTGGAATCTTTCTCCTAAGGTCCAACTTTCTGTCTCCGTTACAGCTTTATTTTGTTTGTTTGTTTTATCGAAGTTGACACAATCCACACACCACATACATTTTCTCTGATTTTGTTCTCTGCTCTTTCCTACCAGAGTGGAAGCTGTTTGACATCAGGGAAGGTCTCCCGCTTTCCTTGGGAGACCTTTCCCTTCTTCTTTCCACAGATTCTAGAATAGCACTTGATGCTAAGATGCACAACATGCATTTGTAAAATGACAGAGTGAATGCTTATATGAGAAATGCTTAGAAGAGGGCCTGGCTCAAAATAACCATGTGACCACATTAGCCATTATTAGCAATGTTAAAAATTAAGAAAAACATATTGATATTTAACTGGTACAGATCAATTATAATTCTGGATTATTTTCCATTAAAGTTTCCTCTACCAGTACTCTGGTCTTTTCCTGGTACATTTTATGAAATTATTTTAGTTATAGGAAGAACTTGGAACCATTTCTCTTTTACATACAGAAAGCAAAGGGAGTATGCTACTATTTCTATGATAGAGGGAAAGTTGTAAACTCCCAGAGTTCAGTGTCAGTGGTTTCTGGGACCAAGGACAGCTTTAAACAGTGATTCTAGTAGGACCAATGATACAGACAGAAATGGTAACACTATGTCTTAGTTACTTCTCTATTGCTATGACAAAATACTATGACCAAGGCAATTTATAACAGATAACATTTACTTTGGGGCTTATGGTTTCAGAGGGTTAGAGTCTTTGATGGTGGAACAAAGACATGGTGGCAGGAACAGTTGAGAGGCAGAGAGAGTGACAGAGGGAATGGCCTTTTAAAACTGTAAAAACCCACCCTCAAAGACACACTTTCTAATCCCTCCCAAACAGTTCCATCAAGTGGAGACTCAAATATATGAGGCTTGAGGGCTATTCTCATTCAAATAACCACATACTATAGGTACCTGCTGTGTACAAGACTGACCACCAGTGACTCTTCCCCAAATTACCCCAAACCCAAGACACTCACAGCATTTCCGTTTTCAATCCAGCTGATGGTGGGGACAGGGATGCCTATTGCTGTGCAGCGTAGGGTCACAAAGGAGCCAAAGGTGACATTGTGGGATTCAGGAGCCCGCAGGATTCTTGCAAAAACTGTTAGGAAGACAAAGGGCATGAGTGATTTATTTTAGTGAAATGGCTAAGCAAGATAGGGATGTTTAAAACTGCAGTCACACTGTGTGCGCAAGTGCGATCAGTCCTTCAGTGTTGGCTGCTGTGCTTGGCCTCCATGCTCTTTCTGTTATGATCCTGCAATTGTCACCACCCTAGGACACACTGAGTTTATATTCAACATAAAAGTTGATCTTTGTTGATCCTCAGTCTAGAACATTTTTGCTCATGTCTTCATGTAATGGGTTCCTTAAATGTATAACTCAGGTCTCACTTTAAGGGACATTTTCTTAGAACCTTAATCAACCTCCACACAGAGCAAATCCGACTCACCTTTGCCATTCTATTTTATGATCTTATACACTGATGCTATTTGATATTCCCTTAAACAGTTCCTACTTGTCCTTTCTTCATCTCTCCCATTAGATTGTCGTAGCCCATTTTTTCACAGCTGGATTAAGTGCCCAGAAGCATTCTTGATCAAAATGAACAACACAGGACACCATTTTATCAACTTAAAGAAAATTAGTATTTTATACCCTAAATTCTAGCATAGTAGTGAGAACAAATTCAAATATATCACATATTTCAGATAATGAGATGATATACTGGGAGAAATGAAATTAATATTTTACACAAAGGAGATGATATTTTAGATGTGAGGAGTAAAATGCATCATTTGCATTCCTTATGGTTACATTCTTCACCAATTTAAAAAGAATCAGGTCTTTAGACTCAGTAGTTTTACATTGAATTAAAGACAGAGGTGGAAACTCAATGTATGGGAGAGCACAGTTTACAAGATGTTCTACTCTTCTTTATAAATGTGGAAACTGAATCCCATTAATTTTATTTACTTTCCCAGAGTAATAGCAGTGACGGTAATCAGCCTGGTCTCATGTCTTCTGATGTCAAATCCAGCTGTTTTTTTTTTTTAAAGTGATTATGAAATCTTTTTGTTTTCCTATCATATTGTCAACATATTTCATGCCTTTTCTGTTGTTTTCTGGAGCCAAAGCCCAGAACAACACTTTGTTCATGAATTCATGGAGTTCATGTGGACAAGGCAGGAGATGCACAGAACAATCAGAGCAAGCCTAGTGCTTGTCAGCAGTATCTCTGGCTTTTGATAACCTCTTTAAAAGGTTATATGATTCAAGGGTACAGAAATGTGATGATCTCTCTTGACAACTGGATCTTTGCTACAAAGATGAATTAGCTTGACTGCTTTTTGATATTGAGAGCTCTAAGACACATGTTGTTTATAACAGTAATTGCCTTTGAATTCTTATTTTCCCAACTTAATCTGAGTTCATAAGCTGTGTACTTTTGACAGCCAAACTTGGACTGACAGGCATTGTAGCAGGGGTCAGCCATGCACTCTTCTTGTGTTCTGGTGATAGTAATGGAGACCTAAACCATGCCATACATCTGTCTCACTTGTAACATGTGGCTGGAATACTGTATGCAGAAGCTGGCACTACAGTGTTCTGAGTTGAGTCACTGTAATCAGTACCACATGGGGCCCCCTGCCTCTGAGCATTGAAAACAGTGAGATCCTTGAGAGACTTGGAATTGGATCATTTTTATATCAGTCATATTAGATAAGAGTTCTAATGACCTGACTGTGCCCTTGGATTTTTAAATGAGGGTCTTTTAGATGAAGATTATGAGAATAAAAACAAAATAGAGAAGTAGGAAATCTAGATTCTTTCTCCTGTTTTGATTTATAGAAGCAAATGTTTTAATTTGGGAACTTCAAAATTTTCTTGGAAATTAAGTAATCAGGGTGGGTTCACTGTGTTTTGATTGACAGCTTTTCTTTTTCTTTTGGCTGCTATTGCATTATAAGGATTGTCATTTAGGTCCATTGCAAAACCCTTGATGACCTATATTGCACAACACAGCTAGGCATAATGTGAGCTAGTGAATAAATCAGCCATCTATTCTTGCACAGTTAATCATAATGTTGAACTTATTTGATTCCCAAAACTGCCTCATCCAGAATTTTCTTGGGCCTCTGTTTGAGCACACATGATGGGTATTATTGGCCACCCAAGAGGCTACATGAATATAAAACTGCTAATAAATAGTTGTTCTTTCCGAAGTGGGTTTCATCCTTAAGTGCACTGTGTTAGGAGAAGAAAATGACTGGAGAGGACAGTGAAGCTGATCTACGCCACACTCCTGAGTTCTTTCCAAAAAATAAGACTCAGCCCTCCCTTTGGTATCAACATATTCCACCCTTCCCTTCACTTTTCCTCTCCTCCCAAAGGCGGTTCTGAATATCATTCATTTCTTTTGGGTTGCACTGAAATGTCTTCTAATCACACTATCGTTCATTCCCCTCACCTTGATTATGTTTCATCCTAGTACTGAGGATCGTTGACAACTGGGGATCTCTTTAGTTATTTGTATTGCTTGTTCCTGTCCCTGGGATAGAAGCACATCAAGGTCTGGCTTGGCTTTGCTCATTACTGCAGGCTGACCTACCTGTATGTGGGTCTCTGTCCATCTCCAGATATACCCTGCCTGGTTCAGGGTGAGTAATCAATAAATGCTTATTAGGTGAATGTGTGAGGGTATAGATGAATGAGTGAATGAGAGAGTGATTGAGTGAGTAGATGAGTGAGTGACTGAGTAGGCGACAGAGTAAGCAAGTGAGTGAGTGAGTGACTTATAATCTCTCATGTGATCTGCACGAGTGGATGAAATGAAGTAAATGAAAGTTATCCATGGTTTGTGTATCTCAGCCCTGCTGTGACATCATTCTTATAGCTGCTCCACCTACATGAAGGGAAAGAGCTTGATGTGTGGTTGGAAGTTTACCATAAGTTTACCAGGCCAGGACTTCTCTATCCAAACACTAAGATGTGAAATGTGAAAGGTTGGGAAAGTAAGAATGAAAAGCAGAAGTTATGTTAGACTCCTTGTTAGTCGGGCTAGAACACTCCATCCAGCTTTATCAGCAATAAAGCTCATGTGTTTTTACCCATTAGTATTTTTTTTTCTAGTTCTAAATGTGAAAGGTAAAGATGGGCTGAGAGAAATTCCAACCACTTAATAACTGTTGACAACAATCCCAGCAGCTGCAATCAAAAATAAAAGTAGGACTAACTTCATCACCTGTGGTAATGAACTTGAATGTAATTTGAAAGCAAATCCCATTGCTTTAGTGAGTACCCACAACTGAAAATACATTCTAGGTCATCAATTCAAAGCACAATGAGATCAGTTTCTTAGCCAACAAAATCCACATCGAATGTCTTAATTTTGTAACTTATTTTCATGTAAGAAAATGTTTTGTTATATAAACAAGTAAACAGCAGACTAAACGGAATTTGGAATTAGTTAATGATTCGGGGAACTTTATAAGTATTCTGATATTATACAACTCCTCTTGTTAGGGATAATCTGATTTATCACTGTCCAAGTTGCTATTTACTCTTTCTCATTCATGTTCTGTGGGCAGATATGGTGTTTTTACGAGTGCAATGAGAAACAGGCAAAGGCAATGTTTAACCTCTGGATTTTCTCTTAGGGAGTTTCTTCATGTGTTTTGGGCTTGATGTCTCTTGCGCAAATTCGCAGACCTACCTGAAGGTTGGGAATCCTACATCAGAATTGTTTCTAACAAACACAGCTATACTCCCTCTGTCCCCACCTCAAACACCTGTCACCTCCATCTTTTCAAAATTATTTTGTGTCCATAGTCAGTCTTATGATTGTCATTTTAAAGAATAGTGTGGGTTCAAAAGATAAGGCTGTCATACAGCCTGAAATTTTTCTCGTAATGTCATGAAAAACTCAGCGAACAGGAGACACAGACCAAGTCCTGAAATGATGGATACTCTAGTCCTTCTTCTTGCATACAGAGTTCTGGAGGATTTCTCATATTTGGGCCATTTTCCTGTTTCTGGATGATTATTTCAAAGATACAGTGAGAACTCATACATTTTATTTGCTCTAACTTTTTTTCTGAATGATTATTTCCTACCTTCCCTTGAATAATTTTTTGTTTGTTTGTTTTTAAGGTTTCAAGCAATCAGTTATTGGCAGGAATAAAGGAAAAGGGGATGGCTTAGAACTGACACAGATGACCAGGTGGAATGCTTTGACTAGAGGAAAATATTTCAAATATGGGGTAGGCATCTCTTATGGCTTAAATCTAACATGTCCTCCACAGGCTCATGTGGTTGGACACCTTCTCTGCAACCGGTAGTGCTGCTTTGGGAGGTTTGGGGTTCTCCTTTTTTGGAAAACTTTTTTAATGATCTTAATTATGTGCACAATAATTATGTGTGGCTATAAGTGCACTATGTGCACATACAAGTGCAGGTGCCTGAGAAGCCCAAAGAAGGATGGCAGGTCTTCTGCAGCTGGAGTTAGAGGCAGTTATGAGCCTCCCAGTGTGAATGAAGGGAATCAAATTTGGATCCTTTGTAAAAGCAGCAAGTGCTCTGAACCACTGAGCCATCTCTCTGGCCCAGGTTCTAGATCCTTTAAGACACATAGGTTAGCTAGCAGAACTGGGCCACTGGGGCAGACCTTTGGCTTTGTAAGCATTGTGTGGGCCTGGTCCAGGCTCTCTGCTTTCTGTTCCATTGTGATGCATGGGTCTGTCATCTCACATTCTTGCAGCTACAGTTGGAGCTGCTCCAGCTGCTATGTCTTTCCTGCCAAGATGGTTTGCATTCCCTGGATCTCCGGGCCAAATGAAACCTCTTTTTCTGGTGGCTACTTCTGTCAGTTATCTTGTCAGGGCAAGGAGATAAATAGCTAATATGGTGTCCTAATCTGACATTTTAAAAGTCAAAAACTCTTGGAATGCCAACCTGACTCTCAACAAGTTTCAGTTTTGAAGCATGCTAGATAGACTTCAGATCTCTAGATTCAGGATGTTCGGCTGGTCAAGTCTGAGCAAACATTCCAGAAGCTGAAAGACTCTGAAACCTGAAGCACTTCTGACTCCAAGTATTTTGGGTAAAAGGTATTTAATCTATTATATTTGTGTCTGTAAAATGAAGAGGCACTGCTTAAAATATCAGCCTAAGATATACAAGAGAAGTCTAGAATCAAACTGTGTGAACTAAGGACTTAGTTTTTAGCCTCAGAGTATCAAAATTTAGGTGAGAAGAGCATCAGTCATGGTCGTCCTGGAACACAAGGTAGCTTCGGTGTACAAGAGGATATTCCCAGACAAATTTTATTTCTAGATGCCTTTTTCCTGAATATATTTCATAAAACATGCATGTCAATGTCACTTAAAATACAATCACTTTTATTGATTTAGAGTAAATAAGTTAAACTCCTCAATGAATTGAAATGTTGGTAATCAAACATAAGTCAGCACCTTGAATTTTTAACAATTCTCTAAACTTTTAATACTACCCCCCCCCCCGCAAAGAACTTTCTGTACTGACCTGTGTGGGTTAATTCTCTTGTCCATTCTTTTTTTTTTTTAATTTTATGTTGTGATTCTAGAATTTGGAATATGCTATTTCAACACTTCTCTGGATTCAATATTCTCCTAAGAAATGTAATTGGTCCATAATGCAAGCCTCTGGGAAAGCAGGCCATCTTCAGGTGCTCTGCTTCATGCTATGACTTCTTATTCCCACAGGTCATTTGTCATTTCTTGACAAACTAATAGCACTTAAGGTCAGGAAAATGACCAATCGAAATATACTGTGCATCTAAAAAGAAGCAGCAATGCAGAAAAGGGGTGAAAAATACCTTTAGTGTCCTGCTCAGGTTCAGTGTCTTCTGTTAATGGGAACAGGACGAAACAGACAAACACACAACAAAGACAAACAAAACAATGCATCGTGAGAAGGGAGATCTTAGATTGTAGCACTTCAATTGCGCACGATTCATAAGAATCCACTTGTTTCTTATTTCAGTAAGAAACAAATGCCATGAAGGGAAACTGCTGACCTTTTTTGCAAGCAAACTATCACATGGCATAAGATTCCAAATTACTACTTGTAGTCAGTCAGTATTATACAGAAAATAAACTACAGCATACCCGAAGACGTAGCTCACTCATGCATTTTTGTTTTAATGTGGACAAGTACAATCCCCCCTTTCTTTCAAGGCAACAGAGTCCCTACTATTCTAGTGAATTCTGTTCCTCTGTTCTCTTGGCTTCTCGTCTTACCAGGCCCTGCTGTGAAGTCAGTGTTGTGGACTGTGGGATCTCAGCTATCATTTCTATGGCAATAGACTCATGTTGTGGTAAACAGGGGATTAGAGGGTTTCTGCAGAACCAGAGGCTACACCAACAAAGATCTCCAACTCTCATTTAATCCCCAGAGGCAGCTCAGAGAATAGAAGAACAGAGCATTCTGGGAACAGACTAGCCAAAGCTGCTCTGGGAGGAAAAAAAAAAGGAAAGAAAGGGAAAAAAGAGAGAGAGAAAGGAAGGAAGGAAGGAAGGAAGGAAGGAAGGAAGGAAGGAAGGAAGGAAGGAGGAAGGGAGGGAGGGAGGAAGGAAGGGGAAGAAAAGAAAAAAAGAAAAACAAAACAAAACAAAAAACCCCAAAACTCTAAATTTGACAGAAATGATGAAAATTTGTATATATTTTTAGAAACCCTAACCAAGGGGAAATAAAAAACAAATTAGTTCTTTAAAAATGTTTACTATGACTTGGTATATACTCGCTTATATAGACCTACAAGATATGATAAACATAATGACATCTACACACCTAAAGAAGATAATCAAGAAAGTGGACATGGGTGAAGATGATCAATCCTCATTTAGAAAGACAAATGGGATATGCATTGAACGTATGACAGGAGTCTACCGCAAAAGGCATCTAAAAGACTCTACCTAGCAGTGTTTCAAAGCAGACACTAAGACTCATAACCAAACCTTGGCAGAGTGCAGGGAATCATATGAAAGAAGGGGAGTTAGTATGATATGGAAAGGATAGGAGCTCTACAAGTACCAAATATATCTGGGCACAGGGTCTTTTCTGAGACTGACACTCAACCAAGAACCATCTATGGATGTAACATAGAACTTCTGCTCGGATGTGGCCCATGGTAGCTCAGTAACCAAGTAGTTTTCCAAAGTAAGGGGAACAAGGACTATTTCTAACAGGATTTCAAGGGCAGGCTCTTTGACCTCCCCCCCCCCCCCGGGGAGGAGCAGTCCTCTTAGGCCACAGAGGAGGACTTTGCAGCCAGCCTTGAAGATACCTGATAAAACAGGGTCAAATGAAAGGGGAGGAGGTCCTCCCCTATCAGTGGACTTGGAAAGGGGCAGGGAGAAGACCAGGGAGGGAGTTGGGGAGGGGGAGGGATACAGCTGGGACACAGAGTTAACAAATTGTAACTAAAAAGAAAAATAAAAATTAAAAAAAAATGTTTACTATGACCATATCACATGCAAACACCCACACAGAATTCTAATTTTTCCCAAAGGCTTATTTGTTCAATCTATTTAGATTTTTTTAGTATTAACTAAAGATAATCCAGTTGCAATATATGTCTATGTGAAAAAAAAAAAAAAAAAAAAAAACAGTGATGCTATTTGTGACCACTGTTTCTGACAGGAAGAGCCTCCTGCTGTTCTTCATAGATGGTGGATATTTCCATATACACCATATACCAGTCCCTGAGCTCCCTCCTGTAGCTTTGTGATTGAACATGATTGATGTGACTGGAACTATTTTACAGCTAAAACAACAGCAACAAACAAAATCTAAGATTCAAAAATCTAGAGCCAAGAAAGACCCAGAAACGCAACACCCTCATTCAGATTTAGACATGGAGTCCTTTGCTGTAACCTGGAATCATAGTGACGACTCCATTTCATGCATGCAAAATTTCCTATTTAGATTGGACTCTCTGAACTCTCCTGCCTTCACCAAGCAAGTCAGTGGCATTTAGTTTTATTTTCTTGCTTTAAGAATCCAGGCTAGAAGCTACTAAAAGTTTATAAATTGATATGAATTACAAAAAAAAAAAGAGGTTGTCTGTCAAATGAACCTTGAATCTGGTTAAAAAGATGAGGTTTTTATGATATTCCTAACAGTTCCAGGTAAAGCACGAAATAAGTATTAGTTTCTTCCATATTGTACACTGTAGAAGCCCTGTTTTGTTTCGTTTTTGGATTTTTATTGTTTGTTTCTGAGTATCCTAGGCTATGTTTGGACCTTTGACCCTTCTTCTTGAGTGATTGGAAATTTAGGGGTGTTTCACCATACCCAGGAAGAGTCCCTGCTTTTATCACAGATATTTTCAGAAGAGACAAGCAGAGGTCCATCTTTGAGCCAGATTAGGTCTGATAAATTGTGAAAGGATATCCCCCCCCCAAACTACCACAGCTAAACAGATCCAACCAAAGAGATACAACAGTATTTGAACTTTGCAGTTTTCCAAAGAGCAAGCTTAGAGGTTGGCTGAGAAATTTCACTTTCACGTATGTACTATGAAATCTTCCTATGCATAGTTGCAAATATCAACAAGTTTCTCACATGCTTTAACATTAATACAAACACACATAAATACATGCACACACAATTAAGGTTATTTTGAGAAAATATGAAAGGTTGAGAACTTATTGAAGCTTGTATGCACCCTGTGGGGGATGTTTGTTGCTCATTTCAAGGACAAATTGCCGTCCTAAATTCTCAAGGTGACCCACTTGTCTATAGTGATCCCTGGTGACTTCTGGACTTGTTGTCTGCCCATTTTGAAAATCCTACCTCATAGTGTTCATTCTCACCTAATTGCTTTATGTGTTGTTATGCTCCGTCTTGCCTTCCAAATAGATTTCCAGTCGGAAGGCATAATGTCAGAAGCAAGGTTACTAACAAACTTCTGCTGTTGCTTTTCTTCCTGAAGTACAGAACAATTTCTTATAAAAAAAAATAAATAAAACACTATTATTTTTTAAAAAAGATCTTTTGTCATTTGTATAAGGGATGACTTGCCTTCTGCTTTCTTAGACTAGTTAAGGAGGGAAGTTGGGACAGTCAATCAGTGCCTGCTCTAACTCACAGGGTCTACTCGCTTTACTTCAGTAGCCAAGTTCAGTAGCAATCAACTACTTTCTTTAATATGTTCATTTATAGGGAACCCAAGATCATTTTAGTAACTTATTTTTACCAATTCTTTTTAAATTTATTTTCATTTTATGTTCACTGGTGTTTTGCCTGCAAGGATGTCTGTGTCAAGTGGTCAGAAGCCCTGGAGCTAGACAGGAGTGAACTGCCACATGGTTGCTAGGAATTGAACCTCGGTCCTCTAGAAGAGCAGCTGGCGCTCTTAACCACTGAGCCATCTCTCCAGCCCTTTATGAAAAAAAAAAAAAAGAGGAGTGGCATATACTCTAAATCAGTCTCTTTATAATTCCTACCCATAAGACCTGTTTCCCACGTCCATTCACTGGAAGAAAACTATAAAAAAAAATTATTTTCATGTTTCCAGATGTAATAGCCAAGCTTCTCATTCTTATTGCTAAGTTTTGCGCTTCCTTAGCCCTTCTTATTTTGAGTTATTCAGAATTCACAAATACACACGATGAGTCTAATATGTCTAAAAGAAAGAAGCATTGTTTACACTTTATTTCTACGACTATAAATCTGCATATGTTTTAATCTGATGCTACTGAAAATCACAAGTATCCACAACTCATTTTTATCCTTTTTCTTATTAAGGTCTATCTCCCTAAATTCATCTACGTGTGTGCATTTGTGAGATTAATTCATCAGCTTATTGACTGGGGAGAAAATTGGAAGGGTTATCAGAGGTTATGCAGGAAAAAGAAAAGTGAAGTTTCCCTGAGAAAAGATGAAAGGGATAGACATAGCAAAATCACACAGGACAAGCATAACCTTTGGAGTGAATAAAGAACCAGAAGAAAGCAGACAGAAATACACAGATAGCTTGCATTCTTCTGGCCACAAAAGGGAAGTGAGCCAAAAAAGATAAAAGAAATACGACTACTGAGGTTGAGGTCTCAGATGAGCTGAATGCCCACATGCGTGCTCCTGGCTGGATGGCACTGAGACCTCCTCTTTCTGGGAAGGCGTTATCATGAGAAAAAGAAGTATGAAAACAAGATAGAAAGAGCTTGAAGGAGAAGCCTGGCTCGCTCTGCGCGAGCGTGTGAGGTATTTTAGAGAAGTCTGAGCAATAGGGAAGTACTGAAATTATGAAGGGAAAGAATCTGAGACATGTGTGAGATGGCTTTGAACATGAGCATATCAGAGTTTCCAAGTCTTCTGGCCCTTTTCTTAGCTCAGTGACTAGGACCCAGTCAATGCAAATGATGCAGCAAAGAGTGACCGCACAAAAGTTACAGCAGGCTCTGGGTCTAGACTAGTGGGTTACAAGTTCCCACTGTACAACAAACTTGTAATGGGTATGTTTCCATTACAAAAAATGCTATTATGTGTGTACCTGTACTTGCATTTTTTTTTGTTAATGATATCCAAATATGCCAGCTAAAGTATCATCTGTTTTCTACCTAGATAAAAAGAATGCCTTTAAATAGCACTGCTCTTTATTCTTTTCAAACAATAATATATAACTTCTTACTTATTTCATAAGATAGAATTTTCATGAGGATGGAATTGCATCTTAGCCTTTTGGCTAGGATCAAATGTACATAATGATACATAAAAATAGCACAGATGCTATATTTGAGACTGTGCTGAGTTCTTCTTATTAGAACAAATACATAACAATATCAGAGAGAATGTGAGCACTAAACCAATACCTCAGCCAACAAGAAAATAGGCAAAACACAA